ACGTTCGATGTCAGTTCTTTCACTTTGCTTTTAGATGAGTATAGCCTTGAACCAAGTGTTCGACATGCGTGGTTTTCAAATTACTTTCAGTGGAGCTGTCTTCAACGCCAACATAAGTTGAGTATCTAACTCCACCCTTTTCAGCATCTGTGAAGAGCTGCACCGCAGCATTTCCCTCTATGCTCTGTGAAGAGACCTCATGGTTCTTCCTGCAATGGTGCTCTGGTGCCTTGGCTGTTTACCAAGACAGGAAGAATTTTGTCATATAAGACAAAGGGTGTTGCTCATAGCGTAAGCTATAACCTTCTTTGTTTGCAGACCTATTACAGCACCCAAGCCAGACGAGGCATTGTATGCTTTCGTTCACTTTCTCCAGCCCATGTCATAACTAGCAGCAATATTACCTGGTTGACGATGTTGTATTGTCTTTGTTTGTAAGAATATTTTCAAGGTTAGTGTGCTCAACACATTTTTTTTAGCTACGCTTTCAATCTTGGTTCCGGCCTCTCTCTCTCTCTTTCAAATTTTTGTCAGTTAGCGTAGGTAGCCCCATTGTATTCAGTAGACTCTCGTAATGAGTATGACCAACACCTGAATGTAGTATGGCAATACCTATAAAACAAGGCAATTTACATAACTATTTGTGTCACATTGATGTATCTATGAAATAGAGGATATTACATGGGCGCGCGGAGATACGAAATTTATCTTCGAGTGTTGAAAAGATCTCTCACAAGTGAGCGCAGCGAACGAGTGAGAGATTTTCAACACGAGAAGATAAATTTCGTATCTCCAAGCGCCCATGTAATATTCTGTTTATTATATAATTATCAATGAAGTATGTTTACTTATAGTATTGCCTGTTTGATTTTATCCAATGTCACAATTCAAGCTACATGTTTGAATTGAATATTGATCGATTGATTGAATAGCTGATTGTCGGATTGATTAGTGAATTGATAAATAAATTTATTTCATTAATTATTTGTCCATTCACTCACTAGTTCATATATTCAATCAAATAATCATTCTTTGATGAACTCATTTCTTTTTACAGTTTTCTTTATTTTAGGATAACTACAAACAAACTATTTCTCTATTATACACAAATGACGTATCTATTTTCCACAAGAATGTATCAAAGTTCCACAAGAATGTATCTTGCAACATTTACAATAAAAAAGGAAATACATTTGTAACAAGTTTTGACACGGGAAAACGTGTCAAATGTGATGGTCACATTGGATACTTTGAATAGAGTAGAAGACTATTTGGGATTTAGTCATTGTAAGACAGAAGAAAGTCCGTGGATTCGGTTTGACTAAAATAGGATATCTTGTAATGCTGATAGAAGAGATACGTTTTTCGTCGAGGCAAGATTTTTTTACAGTCAAATTGAACCAGCATAAACGAGTCTTGGTCGCAAACCCCAAAGCAAGCCTCCGTCTCTCTCTAAGAACCAGTGTTATGGTGGCTCCATCGGTTCAAAAACATCACAAAACATTGAACAGAGGATTCTCCATCTACAGAAAAAGTTTGGTCTCGAAAATAAACCTTCCCCCGAATGAGAGAAAGGAAAGAAGACTCTTTCCTTTCTCTCTCTCGGGGGAAGGTAAAGGAGACTCTGCTCGCAGGGTAACCTCAGAATGGAAATATTGCGAAAAACGTATCTCTTTCCCTACGCTGCCCATAGGCCCAAACCAAAAAACTTTAGCTAGCAATGTATTTATATTTACCTTTAAAACTTCATCATTGTCATCGAATGTTTGACGTTTAAAAGGTTGATGAAGCTTTAAATAGTCGTTTTCTCTTACTTGTGAACACCACGTTGAATCTTGTCAAACTAACCGGTTTACTAGAGTGACCACAGTTAATCCGTGAAACTCTAAATACTATTTAGTACAATTTAGTGGAATTTAGTGCGAAAATAGCTGGACCGTGAAGTTCCGCTAAATAGATTGCGACATGCAAATCAAGTCATTCAGCCGTTGATGCATGTGCAAATCAAGGCTGGTGATAGTTTCCATCTAATTTAATGCGTAGAATCTCAGAATTTAATCCGAGAATACTATGAAATACACAGGTATTCGGACTCAAGCAAGGGGACAGGGGGATGGGTTGTTGTGCGTAAGTATAAAGGAATGTGAGTGAGTGTCAATAGAGCACGAGGGCATAGGAAGGGAATAGGTTTCGTATGGATTATATAGATGGGAAGGGATGTAGGGAATAGGTAGCAGCGATGATAAAAGGGGAAATGAGGAAAATGTATTATTTATAGGGGTAAATTCAAGGGCAACGTGAAGAGCAGGATAAATACGCCGCGTATGGTGATGGCACGCGTGGCGGGGGGCGGTGCTGATATGATGTATCGAAAAATAATTTGCTTGTAAGTTTGTATGATGAGCTCACGTGTAGGTAGAACCGTCGGTGAATGTGTGCTGGACCTAGCGCCCTATCATGCATCTATCGTCAGGGGTGAAGATGCAAGATAGCGAAGAAAATCGACGTGTTTCAAGACTCTTAGGCCCATGAGCTTCACTCTACACGTGGCGCCAGGTCAACGGTTCTGCCTGTGGAATAAGCAATTGCGGCGGATAAAGGGAACCACAAGACTACCGAGGTAAAACCTTAGGCGCGGATATAGGATAAAGTGTGTTACCTGGAAATGATGATATGTGGCCTAGACGACGGGCTAGCGATTTCGTGATTGAAGATTCCATAACTGTATGGCGAGAGAGGGGAAGGCCAGTCGCGGAGGGGGCGTTCATGTATGTCATGAAAGCGAGGTTACAAAAATAAGTGGAGTGGACAAAGGTGCAAACAGGGCGAGTTAGGGTTTAGTTGTAGCGGATAAGTATGGAGGAAGTGAGCAAGAAGAAGAAAGTGGAAAAAAGAGAAAGGAACAATGATAATAAATAAATAAATAAATGAATGGAAAAAGAAACAAAACGAAACATAGTTTAATAAATAGGTGAAGAGAGAATATAAATATAAATAAATAAATCAATAATCAATAAACAAACAAATAAAAAGGAAGAGGGACGGAGGTAAACCAACAAGGGGGAGGGGGAGGGGGGTATTTGGGGTTAGTGGTCAGCGGTTGTGTGTTGGTGTTGTACAAATTAAAGATGGAGGTGTGTATAGAAAGCACAAGAGCGTCTCAGCACCATTAAGGCATGGCTCTTTTGAGGAAGTGATGGAAAATCAGTTATTTATTCATATCTTTGACAGTTTACTATGAATCTTTCCCAAATTTGGCTCGTAGTAGTAATTCTTCAAGGCAAGCAATTACCGCATATCTCTTACCATGGAAACCAGGTCTCGTGACCACAAGGCCGCCATCTTGGGTTTAAAACAAATCGTTTGTAATCGTATTGAAACTACTTCAACAGTCCTGAAAATCCATATTCCTTTTGATATTTGCAATACCTATATGGATCTAATTGGATATCTTGGAAATTATATTAAGTTTAATTTTTAGAATATTTTTAATTTTTTGGAAAAAATAGAAAATATTCTAAAAATTAAACTTAAAATAATTTCCAAGATATCCAATTAGATCCATATAGTCATTGTAAATATGAATAGTAATCTGAATTTTCATGACTTTTAAAGATGTTTCGGTACGTTTACAAACGGCTTGTTTAAAAATCCAAGATGGCGGTCTTGTGGTCACGTGACTTAGTTTCCATGGTAACCAAGGCTCTAAGGTTCCTTCTTTTCACAAAAGACATTAACTTGCCAAGTTTGGGGAAGATTCGTAGAAAACTGGATATGATATAGCTAATCAGTTTTTCATCTGAGAGCCATGCCTTAATGATGCTGAGGTTTAGTGTAGTATGAAATAATGTGGCAGATGGCAGATCAAGGTATAGAGAAGAGCGTATCAAGGGAAGGAAAGACCCACTGTAAGAAACGAAGAAAAACGAAGCGGAAGGTGAGTGGATAAAGTAATTTATTTACAAAAGTGAATTAAAAGGGCGAAATGTTAAGATCATGAAATAAAATAGAAAACTAACGAACCCGTAGGGTGGAAACCAACAGGTATAAATATATATACACATACGTAAATGAACATGAACAAACAAGGAGGACTAAGGAACGTCTATCCAATTTGGGTGAGTAGTAGAAGGGCAGGTAGTGGAATTCGACTGTGAAGGCTCCTTGTGTGTGGGAAGGCTTGTGGAGATGTACTGTAGAATGGATATGTTGATAAGTGGAGGTGAAGAAAACCAAATCGTGGATGTTAAGGAGAATTTGTGGAACAGTTCTTGCGTATTTGTTGTAGTAGTGTCAATGAATGTATTTCCAGTGTATCATCAGTAGATATTATAACTGATAGTTGGCATCATACTTTAGTTAGGAGTGTTAATATAGTCATTGTGATGAAGTTTCAACTGTTTTTTTTGAAGGTGTACAGTCTTGGGTCTTCAAGGTTTACTGGGATTGTGGTGGATCTTGGGAGTGGATGATGTATTCATAATCTTGGGTGACGATTCCAGCAGAATAAGAGGTGAGTAGACTGATATTCGTGATAGAATGCTTTGTAGTGGGTCTATACGTCGGTAGTTTGATGGTCCAAATGTTTATCCCCTTGGTGTGTTCCTACAGATGGCGGCATATCTCCAGAAAGGACGAGGTGGTAGATTTCCAGCAGGTACTTCTAGCGAGTGGTGTAGTTAGCACTGAAGTTGATATTGTCTTTAAGATGGAGGAGGAGGGGTGAATAAATTGGAGAGACGTTCCTTCTATGTTTAAAGGTTGGAGTATAATATAAATAAGAAAGGCTAATGGGGAAGAAACTAAGAAATTGGACTGATAAAAATATAAAAATAATAATATATAGGGAGGTAAATATAGTGAAAAGGTTAATAAGTACAAAGGACACATTTCTAGTACCTGACTGACAGTTTCCATACAAAATCAACCCCGCATTAAGGACACTTGAAATTTGAAGACGTCTTTACTGTATTTGTTTATTGATATAATGAACTTAATAAGGATTATATTGTCCGTTTTTGCGTATCAACGGACCACACACTGATCATTGCAGTATAGTTTCCTATTACAGCATAATGAAATAGACAAAGCTCGCAATACCATTGCATTGTTATTTTCCAGAACTCAACTCAAAATGAAATTGTACAATGCAGTGCAGTAAATGCGAATGTAGTTCTTGTACGGTCATGCACTTTTTGTTTCCGTTTAGGCTGTTATATTGAACATTGTAGTTCAAGCATTACAGCACAGTAAAAATAAATGGTTAAAAATGTGTTTTCAGCTGTTTTTCTGACACCTCGGTTAATAGGGACACCCCGTTAAAAAATCTATATAGCACTAATGGGTCTCTTACCTTAATAATCTTGTCAGTTTTTCAGGTGCGCATGCACTGACTGAGTGTTGGGCCTAGGGAAAAAAACAAAAAACAAAGCCTTAAGACAAGCTTGGCGCTGAGAGTGGAACGCTTTGCAGAGGCAGTGGGGAAGCGTTGACGTCAGAACTAGGCTTGGCTGATCTGATTCTATGGCTTTGAAAATGTACAATATTTCGTAAATCAAATGGCATAGCATGCAAATGCTTGGAGACCAAAAACCAAACAAGAATACTTAAAAAGCTGCAACCCACAGAAAGGCACCAATTATTGTTTTGGCCAGCCATGCATGGCCTAATTGGCTTATTCGTGCAAATTTACTGATAGAAAATAATCTATTCTGGGTAAAAAATGAAGAAATCAAACATGAATTTAAAAAAGGGCAGCCCTAGAGGAAACCCCTTCAGTCTTAACTGCACTCGAATGCCTCAAAGTAGGTTTGGAATTCTAAAATCAAACCGAATTCCTGACACCCTAGGCTCTTTCGGGCAAGTCCTGGACCAAGGGTGAAGAGTAAGCTCTGGGGGGGATGGGCATCCCAGCATAGTGACCTTCTTAAAAAACAGGTTAGATAGATATATATATATGATGTATAAAAAGATGAATTAATAAGATGTATTAATAAGATGAAAAAGATGTATTAATAAGATGAAAAAGATGTATTAATAGAAGGAGGTGTAAACGGTTGTAGATTGAAGTAATAAAATTAAGACACCATAGGTGTAAAGTTGTGTTCTTGTGATGGTTATTGTCGAAAACCACAAGGTGGTCAGTTCATCTAGGGCCAAAATAATATGAAAAGTGGATGATGTTGTAGGAGACGTGGAGGTGATCCTGTGCTGTCGAGGTTACAGATGGCAGAGTATAGAGTCTTGGGTCAGATCTTGGTTCTTGAAATGTTGTGTAGGAGTTGTGTTGGAGTAATCCAGTGTTGATGAAGAATGGGGGGACTCACGATGGCAGGGACTGGCGGTAGGAAATTAGTGTTGCTGTGTGTCTTGAAGAGGTATTGTTGGGATGAAGGTGTGTACCTTGGATGAGGAGATCATAGGTGGACGAGCATTGGTTGTTTACTTTGAGGAATTAGTCGAGGACAATTCTTGGTCTTGAGGAGTGCCTGTTTGGAATTGAAGACGGTCCAATAGGAAACAGATTTGGTAGACGTGAATTGGTTCCAAGTGGTTTTGGAGTACAGCAGGAGTTTTGATTCTTGAGGTGTTCTTTAAGGCCAATTGTTTGAAGAAATAGATGGAAGGTGTGTGTGTTGAATGTTTAGAGTTAAAGGAATGAGATGAGAGGAGAATATAGGGAGGGAAAATATTGTTATTGAAGGTGTGGAAACCTTTACTTTCAAAATTTTTTTTTTCTGTTGGCGGGCCTAAATTTGTCTCAAAGCGATGTTTTCTGTGCATTTGAATGCAAGGTTTGCGAGTAGTTTTACTTTGACATCAAGTACGTATGTACTTTCGGAAGTGACTTAGTAGTCAAGCCAAGAAAAATCAACTCGATGGGTAACCAATCTTTCTTAAGTATGGTGCTCCGCTCGCGCGGGCCGAGAGCTCCGCTATGAGTAATGAAAATGCCAAAGATGTGCCATCGCCCTCTCCATTGCCAATTTCTATAATTAATAATAATTTAATCATGTTAAAAATTTTTTATCCGCATTCTTTCTTGTAAAAATCAACATGTGAGTTGAGAGTTATACACATAGAATGTTGGAGTCGTATAGCGTGTTTGAGTGAAAGAGGACCAAAATGAATCGGAAATATGTATTCATCGGCTAAACGTTCATTTATTAGCTATTCAAAAATTTATAGGTAAAAAAAAGATATTGCAAAATCCTGGGAGTGACCAATACAATATTTAATGCTCCCTGTAAGGCAGAAATGCTAAAGTTTTAAAATGAAAAAAAGTTAGAAAAAGGAATGGAGGCCCGGGACAAGGGAGGTTAAATTGTATATAGAACAAAACAGTAGGAATCTTTTTTTTCTTTGAGAGTTGAAATCACTTTTCGTGCAAAAGTATTGCATTATCCCTACCTACACAAAGCTAAAACGAAACCTTGTATGGTCCATTAGGGGACTTGCACTATATGCTGTGGGCTCCCTGTGGCGAACCAGTTTAATTAATGTGACCTCATTCGAAACTCAATGTAAAAAATGGCCAAATCGAAATCTCTTTCAATTCAAAAACCATGCATACTTTCTGCGTGAGTATTTTCGATTATTCGAAAAAATGGAAATCAATAAGCATTTCAAGGGAAAATATTGTAATTTCAAATATGTATCGTCGCCATCAAGCTGATTTTCTTATAGTTATCGCCATCGGCTTTCCTTAAGGTGGCTGCCTACTTTTGAACGTTCGATTTGAGCCCACGATGTGCGCGCGCTCAAAAACCGCTGAAAAATCTACAAGATTTTATTGAAGAACCATACGCGTTTTGAGCTTCAACAGGGCAAAACCCTCAAATTTTGCACGGGACTCTATATTTTTTGATAGCTCATTCGAAAAAACTCCTAAAAAACCAGGTTATATCAACATTTTAGGAAAAGTTTAAATCAGGAACACGTGAAAAAAATAGATTTTTGTAGCGATTTTTGTTCGACTTTATGAGATTTTTTAAGAGCACCGAAACTACAAAATATGACAAATCAATAATGTATCTCTCTGTCTTTTTGTCGAAAATATCCATGTATTATTGTAGAATGATTGAATAGCCTTCATTCTTGCAATCATATAGTCTGCAAATTACTATTATCTTATTAATCTTAATTTTTTTCTAATCACTTCCGGTGACGCAATTTTTACTCCAAAAGCTCGTGCCTAGCCTTCCATTAAATGCTGATTATCTCGAAAACGAGCTCGGGAAACCCTATTTTTCTTTCCAGATTTGGAATCAGCATTAAATTTCAATTCGGAAAATCGAAGTTTTAAAAAAAGCTTAAATCAATTTCCAAAAGTAGGCAGTCACCTTAATGAGATGTAGAGTTTCAAGAGTTGTTAAAAAACTTGAATGAAAATTTGCTTCTACACAACAACAATGTAACCTCAGCCTGTAAAATGTTCATTTTTCGCATTCGTAAAACAATGTTTACAACCAAAACAAGATTCAACTGAACAATAAAATTTATTTACTTACTAGATTATCGCCTTTGTTGTTTTACCAATATTATATATTTATATAATGCAAATTCAATTTTGTTAGTAGCAAACTTGTCCCAGTCCCTTCTGTGTAGTGAAGTCGGGTTCAGTCGTAACATGACCTCACTTTCCAAAATAAACCTTTTAGAGACAATTTCCCAAATAAGCATATGAAATAACTAAATTTTTAGGTAGATATTCACAAGTTGATTGATAAATTGATAGAAATGATCTCAAATATATTTAGGTAATCAGGGACAAATTGAAATACACACGTAAAACTCGCAAGAGGATTAATTAGAACATGTTGGAATTACGCCTGAAATTAGAATATTTTGGGATTCCTTGCTGAAACTCAAAAAAAAGAGAATCAGTTGCGTTTCCCCCTTTCGCAACCATAAAATGGTTTCCCTTGTGGATAATTGCAGATGTGATCGTTCCAATAAGGTGCACGGACGCCACGAACATAAAGATGAACACAGTTCTCATTGCCCCTAGCATTATTTGGTTCTCCATTATCCCATTTTGAATATCGTCCTGACATACTCGTACCATCTGTCCAGCGGAAATCATCTGTGCTGACTGTAAAGAAAAAACATGTACAAATAAATGTCTTGATGAATATCAATTCAAAGAATATCTTGGATAATAAAAACACCCATAGATTTATCATTCATGTCAACCCGATGGAGTATCCATCTCTACCTAGAGTAAATTTGGAAATAAACTTCATGCCACTGAAAAACTTCAAAAAATGGTATTCTCTACAGGGGCGAAGCCAGAATCTTAACGAAGGTGGACCGAAATTCAAAAATCCATCATTTTGTTTGGGCCCCCGACACGACGGGCATTGCGTCTTTCGTTTAGATTTGTAAAACTTATAGAATGGAAATGAAAATTACCACCTAGCTACTCAAAATATGGTAACCAATTTACATGACTATTATATTCTGAACTAACTATCCTCTCATAATTGTGGAAATGCTTTTGTTTTTGCATGTTGATACAAGAGTAGTCATTCCAGAACAATAGTTTTTCAAATTAGTCACCATAGTTCGTTCGGCTCGCTGTTTTTTCTTAACCATTCTATGTGACTCCCTCTCGCCGTCTTACCCTTTCCTGCCAGGCCCTTTATTGTCTTTATTCCTTCTATCTGTCCATCCCTCCCGCCCTTTCTCCCTCCTACCGACCAAAGTTTTCATGCCTACTTTTTCCCTTTTCTTCCTCCCCATAGACTTTGCAGTTGTTCAATCACTTACTTTTTGACAGTCCGATCCACATGTTTTCTGCTGAACTAGCTTCATTTGCCAATTTAGTGACATAGTTGTTCTCTTCCTCTGAATTGATCTTCACCAGGTAACCACCCATCGATATGCAGGATCGACGAGCATCGTCCCACTTTGGCGTTAGGGTGGTGACAATACGATAACAGGAACTTGCACCCTCTGACCATCCAGTTGGACAAGGTCCTAAACAAGAAAGTAAAAGGAAACGTATCTCATCAGGGGCATGCAGGTAGGGGTTGCGCAGGGTCACGCAGGAGGCAAAAACGATAACTGGGGTTCGTTTTGTATTGCTCATATAATATTAACATGGTTATTTGAAATGGGGTAAAAGGTCCCCGTCCTGAGCATAAACAACAAAAAGCGCCCCTGACTGCTGCCCCTTTTTAACAGGTTTCAGAAACAGCAATTGCCATTACACCAGTAGTCACTACGAAGCAGGAGCTTGCACTTTGAGATTCCCCAATTCCCCAAGATGTAGGTGAATGTTTACCTAAATATTACCCATGTTCACTGAGGCTGAGGCCAATAATTGTTTTAGTATGATTTTAGCCTTGAATATCAGAAAAAGACTGAATTCAGGATAAGATAAAGTTTTAGTATTACTTCCGCTCTCACTGGCAAACTTTAGGAAACATTATTATCACCGAGCATTGAATATTGACTCATGCTCGGCCATCCGCAGCGCACGAAACTCTTTATTCAAGTCTAAAATACACAATACGTTTGCTCATTTTGGGTGCAATGTTTTTTTCTCATTTCAGACTACATGGCACTCCCTTGAGCATTACACATGAAAACACATGAGTATGGATAGATAGACTGATTATTATACTTCGACAAGTTAACCCGTTCAGCACGCAGCTGTTATTCATAGAAACCCTGTTGATACAACACGGACAAAAGAATCTTATTCTAAAGAGAACATGGACACGTAATCTGAAATAGGAAAACGTTGGAACAAACGGGTCTATTCTAACGGTACAGATTAGCTTTTTCGATCGGCTTACTATAAACAGTGAGCTCTGCTGAATTAGATATTCTTCCGGCCTTGTTGGATGCCACACAAGTATACCGTCCATCATGATTACTGTATCGAACATTCCATAAATGTAAAGATCCACTCCGAACTGCATGTTTCCGTGTGATTGGTTGTCCATTAGATAGCCACGTGATAGTTGGGATAGGGAAGCCTGTAGCTTGGCATTYGAAGAYGACGTTAGATCCTTCGAGAGCTGACTGACCAGTAGGTTTGACCGAAAACGATGGAGGAACTGAAACAGGATAATTACGTGAATAGATAATTATTTGTTATAATTAATTTGTGATAGCGAGAGTCTTTGCCAAGTCTCCTTAGCAATAGGCTAATGTTAATTTATTAGCATGATATACTCCACCCCCCATACACAATACTACGTATTATTTACAATATGAGTGGCAATGTTGTATATCCCATACAACATTGTCACTAATATTGTAAACTATTTATGTTATTTATTCTTAATTGAGAATATCATTTGAGCTTTGTTAGTTTAAAAAGGCATTCAGTAATTTAGTTGTAAAGGTTTTGTGATTCAGAAGAAACAAAAATAAATCTGATCAGGTTAATATAATACAAGCTAAATCCAATCGTACAATGCGCTCTTGTTTGATAAAAATATATTCTTAAAAACGAAGTCAATCACGGGTGGAAAGTACATCCCCTTGGGAAAAGTGAAAAAGGTTTTTTGCATGAATACAATATTACTATGCAGAAACGGATCGATGCAGACAGTTTGTAAGAAGTCTTGAAATGTCTCGCTTTCGAAAGCCAATGACTGAACAAGAAGAGAAATTGTGGCTGGAAGATGCAACACCTAAAAACACCAGAAATAGTACAAAATGGAGCCTAAAGATTTAATGGCAAAAGTGTCGTTCGAGTAAGGAGGCAAAATAAAAAGAATGTTATGGATTTCCATGTAACGATATTCAAAGAATTCAAGATCTCACAATGAAGATAACTGAAATGTCGCTCGAAAGTTTAAACTTTTGGATGACAAAGTTCATTGAAGAGATCGTTAACAAATCTGGTGGCCGATATCCTCCTAAAACTCGTTATCAAATTATTTGTGGACTAAACATGCACATTTTGGAAGTCAATGCCGAGAAGGGATTAAACATGCTGAATAAGAGTGATAAACGGTTAGCTTTTGCGAATTGTGTTCTAAACATAGAAGTCGTTATTATGAGGCTTTTTGGTTCCGATTTTTATTCAGTATTCCATCGCAGATTTCTAGTAATTATGAGTCTGATATTCCAGATGATATTCTGGCTAATAATCAAGTGCCATCTACTTCTAGTGTTATATGAATGTGCCAAGCGACGCAATATTCAATAATTGTACAGTGAACTTTATTTGTAAGTGAAATGTTTACAGGCTAAGTAGATGAGAGAAATTTATATCCACAAGCAGTGTAACAGATCGCTAGTTTGCCAAACTATGAATATTAAAAATTGTGTAATAATCTATTGCTACGAATGTTTTCATTTAACCTTGACATTTCAGTACGTTTTTGATACAGAATACTAATAGATCTATTAGTATTCTGTATAACCATGCAGAAACTAATTAAGCATTGTTATAATTCATCAACCCCAACCTTTCCCTGGCAGCTATTCATACCCTCCCCATGCTTTTAGTTTCTTTGGATATGTATCTTGTATACAAGTAATTGCATGTGACACAAATGGCGAGTCCGGATTGGACAGAACGCTCATGAATTATTAATGAATATTATAATATTCACATGTTACGTTTTGCGGAAGGAGTAAAACTGGACATTTCGGAGAAAACCATCGTGGCAACGAAGAGAACAACAAACAAAACAAAAAATTATTTTCCCATTTGGCGCCAACAGTAATTGGTCCGTAGGAATCCCTATGCAATTCGCCGTAAAAAGGGAACATGTATTCAAATTCATTGTCCATAGCCAGCATCGATCTGAGACAGCATGCTCACATTTAGTAACTGAGCAAAAAAAAAATTATGGAAATTATAATGATTTGTATGAGAAAGAGGACCGAGGTGTTGCCAGCCACGATTACATAATTTTAGCACATTTTAATTGATTGTAACTCTAAAAATGTTTGTCATCTTACTTTGAAACTACTAATACTTTCGTGGTCTTTCAGTTGGTGGCAAAAAAGTTCACAATTAAGTAAACAATGTTTTTTTTAAATTGGGGTCTTTGTTTATTCCATAGATTTGCCGTATGAATACCAAATGTCTGTAAATAAATGTATAAAATCCCGATTGGAAAGGAATAAACATGGTGCTCGATTATTGAAATGCGATAAAAGACCACCATTTAAAGCAATCGATCAAACTTGACACTTTGTGGCATGCGCCATTTTTTTAAGAATTTTAATAAAAAGAAACCAATACCAAAACTTTAGTTTAAGTCAAACAACATGGCGGCTATGTCGTCAGGAATGTTCCTCAAAAATTCATTAACAAAAAAAATGTAAATTGAAAAATATTTGGACAGCTTCTAGGTTTATTATAAGTTCGGCAATTGTTGCCGGACCGTTTCAATCAGCTAGAGAATCATCGAACTCACCATAAACGAGAAGTGATGCAGAGGTAGACACTGTACCGGCCTTGCTGGTAGCTACACAAGTATATCGACCATCATGTCTTCCATGACGAATATCCTTTACGACTAAAGAACCTTGGTCTATGGTATGACTCCAAGGGATGGGTCCATCATTGAACAACCACTTGAGAACTGGAGATGGTACGCCTTTGGTCTTACATGTAAAGATGACATCGCTCCCTTCGATCCTTACTTGATCTGTGGGCTTCACGCTCATCATTGGATGAACTGAAAATAGAGAAAGGTTGTTATGAACAGGAAGAGAGGATAAGGGGAACTTGGAAAAGAGGAAGATAAGAACCTTCCACAAGCTCTGTCTTCTCTGTCTTCTCCTCGCCTCTCCTCTCCCTGCCTCGCCCCTCCGGCAAGAACTTCTTGTATCACGATAGCAGCCTTTCCTGACTTAAATCTTGACCTCTCTTCAGAATTAAAAGTTGCTAGTAATTTTATATTGTTGGTTTTCAAATCATTTCCAAGAGAATGAAATAACGAAGGAAACGCCGTTCGTGTTGGTTGATATAACAAAAGAGACTAATGACAAGTCTTTCTTTTGATAAATTCAACGAAGATGGTGGATATGAAAACTAGCAATTCCAATCGACGCATTGGAAAGTTCTAATCATTTATTTAATTGTTTGCATTATCCAAAACCTCAAAATTAGTCAAAAATAATTAAAAACAATTAAAAATGATTAATAAGCATTACTGACACTTACGCAGAACCTCTATAGCCTTCGATGCACCTTGACCAGACATCCCATTTGCCAGGAGACAAGAGTAGTTGCCAGCCTTCTTGTATGCTGGGAGACCAACATTCAGTCTGCTTTCCATGAAAGTTTCATTTATAACCCTGTCTGTTTGACTCAATGACACAGGGAACCCATTTTTTGTCCATGTGATATTTGGCAAAGGATATCCTCTTCCAGAACAGGCAAGGCAGACACTTTTCCTTGCGTGATTGGAAGCTCCACCACTGAAGTGCATGATGTATTGGCCTTTTGGTAGGTACGCAGTGACCTTCACTGTTTAGCAAAAACACAAACAAAGCATTGAAAATATCGGGGGGAAAGGAGAAGATAAAGACTGGAAAAAGAAAATGGACAAAAAAATGGAAGAAATTTTACGAAGGAACAAACAAAGTGTAATATGCACAACAAAGGCATCTTGCTTTTACTTTCTTTAAGTTCATCTACATTTAATGAAAGTTTCCGTTACCATTTTAACATACACCATTGAATTCCAGGGCTTAGAATCAGTTGTGGATTGAGTACCCCATAGTTACCTTCATTTCTCACCCAACTTACAACTAAAAGTCATCTTACCATGAACAAAAAGTGACGCAAAAGTTGACACTGTACCAGCCTTGCTGGTAGCTACACAAGTATATCGACCATCATGTCTTCCATGTCTAACATTGTTTAGGAACAAAGAGTCGTTCTCTATTGAATGCTCCCATGGGAGTGGATTATCATTGAATAACCAAGTGATATTTGGCGCGGGAAAACCTGCAGCTTCACATGGCAAGATGACAGTAGATCCTTCGAACACTTTTTGATCAGTCGGCTTGACGTTTATTACTGGACGAACTGAAACCAAGGAAATGTATTTCGAAGAACACTATTTATAAATTAAGTTGCTATTGATAAACTTCGGTTAATGGTCTGCCTCGGAATTTTTACCATTGAAAAAGAGAAAGTTTAAAATGAACTGAAAATAACTGGCAGTTTGTTGATGGACCTTTATCACACAAATAGTTTTAAATATGTTAAGTGTAGCATACACTTAACATATATGAAATAACTGTTTTTAAATGTCGAGTTCTCATTGGTAGAGATCACGTGCTTTATGAGAGCATACAGCATGCGTGCGCACTTTCAGATGCGTCATTTCTATCCAAAATTACGGTTTTTGTAATTTGTATTTTATAAAAGAAATGAAAAACTTGCTTGATGTGCTGTGTGGAGTTATAAAGCACTTTGGGATTGACAGACACTGGACAAGCGCTACTCGTCGTAACATTTTTCTCTTGTTCTGCCAACCCCTGCGAGCTTTATAACTGTACACAGAGCGTTTTCTCTTTCTTCAACAATTGATTGCGACGCCACGCGTGGTGGAACTATTGTTTATACCAACATGGTAGCAGCGTGAGAAAGGCCCAGAGTAGTTAATATATTTATGAGATTCATTCATCTGATTGATACCAAGCAATAGAATACTCTCTGGTTGGTAACATTTGAAGGGCAGCGTTTACTTATTGTTGCAGGCTGGTAATAAAATCCTTTTACTTGACTAACACAATATCATTAATCTGCCACAAGTCACTTAGTATTTCTATAGCAACGCTTATCGGCTCTTGCACTCCATTTCCTACGTTACAAGAGTATCGTCCTGCCTGGTCATATGTGACATCACCTAGGTTAAGTCCACTTTCAATGAAGGTTTCGTTTATAACACTGTCTGTTTGATTCAATGACACAGGTAACCCATCCTTTATCCATGTGATATTTGGTAGAGGGAAGCCATGCCCTGAACAACTTAGCTTGGCACTTTGACTTGTCAGAGAAAATATGTACTCTCTGGATACTGCATGAGCAGATACTTTTACTGGAAATAAACAAAGACGACGGTCAGTGGTACATTCCTTTTTATTCAAAGGAATAAGTTCTTTGAAGATTCCGTTTTATCACATAACTAAGATATAACGCGCGCTCTGATTGGCTATGCATCTATGAAGAAAAAATGAATGGAGCACGCTGATGACGTCAGATTGTTGCAAATTCGGTGAAATAACAATAATAAATAAATAGTACAAAGGATACAAACGTCAATAAAAGTGATTTACAGTATGGTCCTGCATAAAAAGACAACAAAAAAATCCACTACTTCTACTACTAACAATTAACTATAAGTAAAAACTATAAAAGTATATGAATAAATATAAAGATCAATTAATGATAATAATAAGTTATAAAAGATTAAAAACAAAACTAAAAAGATAAAACTAAAAAGACTACTAACTGGTTTATCTTTTTGTACATTTAATTAAAGGTACAATATAACCATTGATTTCCTTTTCATAAAAACTTCATAGCGTATTTGTTTGAGCTTGAGTTTGGCTCACTACAATAGAGAGGTTTAGCATGACGTTTTTTGGAAGATACCGCGAACCGCTAACCTGAAGATGTCACGTGACTATACTAACAACACGATGGTTACTGGAGTCTAAGTAAAGCCACTGATGCATTCTATCAACTCCCTTTTCAAAAAATATATGGTTCAAAATGTTCAGATTGTGATACAGCAGTGAAGCTCCAACAAAGGATCGTTAATTCAACTTCTCCTCAGTCAAAAAACGTTCTTGCGAATGAAAACGATTTAGACTTGAACTGCTTCCCTTGCATGAATTTTCGGCAAAAAAGTTTTAACAGTAAGTTTACAATACAAATTTAGCTTTTTTGATCCTAACAGGATACTTGACTGATTTCAAATTTAGCTCCAAAAGTATCATGCTCGCATCTTAGGAGAATCTGTGATTTGATCAGATCGAAATAAACAGTTTTTGTCATCTAAATTTGTTCTTTATGTTACAAAAGCAATGCTCAATGCTCAAGCAGTGCGTAAATCTATTTATGGTCGAATAAGTTCTTGTCGTAAATGGGACGTTATAGCGCTTTCGTTGTATTCTTCGTTTGGATTTGTTATATCAAACACTTAACTCGAATCCAGCTTATATTATATGAAACGAAGGAGGATAAGCGATGAACACGTAAAGAAACTCTCTCGTATCATAGAAGAAAGAAAAAGAGAAAAAATAGGAAGTACAAATTGAAAGGCAAAATGAAAAATCGTAGTATAAAGTTAACAATAACCAATCTTATCTTACCATAAACAAGAAGTGATGCCGAAGTTGACACTGTACCGGCCTTGCTGGTAGCTACACAAGTATATCGACCATCATGTCTTCCATGTCTAACATCGTTTAGGACCAAAGAATCGTTCTCTATTGAATGCTCCCATGGGATTGGATCATCATTAAATAACCACGTGATGTTTGGCGCGGGAAAACCTGCAGCTTTACATGCAAAGATGGCAGTAGATCCTTCAAATACTTTTTGATCAGTCGACTTGAGGGTTATCACTGGACGAACTGAAACCATAGATGCAGTAATTGTTATATAGCTACGAAATTTTCCGACATAACGAACACTTTCATTGGTTGAAAGATGACCACGTGACACTAGCTAATTCTAAATGTTTCCCGATTGGGAAATAAATAACTTATTTCCCGGTCGGGAAATAAGTTGCACGTGACAATAATCGTGAAAATAAACAAGTGCACGTGATCAGAACGTTGTGTACCAATCACAAACAAAAAAGTGGGAGCAAATATTTTGCTTGAATTTTCAGTACAAATAGAGCTAAACAACAAGCAAAACAAAACAACAGAGATTTCCAGTGTTTCTACAGAGATTACAGACTTTCATTGAGAAAAAGGATTCGGGAAATACGAAAAAAGCCACTAAAAATGCTATTGCTATAGTGCTATATAATTTATATAATATATAATGCTAAAGTGAAATACAAGACCGTATGTGAGTTGTAATTGTAAAATCATGGTCATTTTTCATGCATTTAGCTTGCTAAATAAAGTTCTTTTGAGATTCACCACCATTATTTCTCTGTCGTCTGCCATATTCGTTTGTCTGTCAGGCTAATAATGGCTATGGAGTTCAAGAGATTCATTAAGCTGATTCATGTCAAGTAATAGAATACAATCTGGTTGATAGCACATGAAGCGCAGTGTTTGCTTGCCATTGTACGTACAGTGACAAGCAATCAGTTGAATTATAAGCCACTTATTCAAAGTTTCTATTGCAACACTCATCGGCTCCTGATGAAGCACTCCATTACTCACGTGACAAAGGTATCTTCCTGCCTCGTCAATTGTGAGGTTGCCAAGGTTTAGTCGACTTTCGATGGAGGTTTCGTTGATAACAATGTCTGTTTGATTCAATAACACACGGAGCCCATCCTTAGTCCATGTGATATTTGGCAGAGGGTAGCCGCGCCCATAGCAACTGAGACTCGCTCTTTGGCTTGCTGGAGAAAATATGTACTCTCTACTAGTCACGTGAGCAATTACTTTCACTGGAATAAACAAAAACAAATTCTAGTAATCCTTTTTTTATGGAATAAGCTATACACCCCTTGTACAAACTTGGGCCCAAAACAGGATAGAAATACTTCATGATGTTAATTGTTTTGCTATTTCGTTGAGAACAATGTCTGTTTGATTGAATAACATAGGGCATCCTTATTCCATGTCATATCTGGCAGAGGATAGCCGCGCTCATAGCAATATTCGGTTTTAAACTTGTCCTTTCTGCTACACACCGAACCAAAATATGGCGACCAATTTGAATAACTATTGTTTAGCACTGGCTAGCGACTCACTAGGCTTGTGTTTACTTGGAAACTTCAAACCGTTTTGACATGTATGAGAGGCTAGTCAGTCCCTAGCCAGTACACAACAATAATAATTCAAATTGGTCCCCATAATTTTGATTCAATGTATAGTAGCGCGCCAATAAAAACTGGACCTTCTTTTTACTAATATCAGGATGCTTGCTCCATAACTGGTGTTCAATTTGACACAAGTGCTGCATTTAAAATGCATATCACCCTTCTGACAATATTCTCAGAATAATGTCAGAATAATTTCGCGGAAGGGTGAACTTTTAAAGCAAAAGGTTCTTTCTATAGTTAAAAATGAAAATGTTAAGATTAAAATTGATAAAAAATATTATTATATACCATAAACCAGAAGTGATGCCGAAGAAGAGACTGTACCGGCCTTGCTGGTAGCTACACAAGTATATCGACCATCATGTCTTCCATGTCTAACATTGTTTAGGACCAAAGAATCATTCTCTATTGAATGTTCCCATGGGATTGGATCATTATTGAATAACCACGTGATATTTGGCGCGGGAAAACCCGCAGCTTCACATGGCAAAATGACAGTAGATCCTTCACACACTTTTTGGTCAGTCAGCCTGGCTATTGGTGCTGATTGTCCTAAATTTTTTAAATAAATAATGATAAATAAATGATGTTATTAATTATTAATATTCAATCTTCGTTCACTATTCAAAATCCAAGCAAGCGATTGGTTAAAATCGATCACGTAGTTTTGCTTTGTATCATAGGACAATTGTTTGCCAAGTTTGATTATTGTAGATCATCATAGAAAACAGATTATCAAGCACGAAATTAATTAAGTAGGAATCAATTAATCAATTAATAAAAGTAGGTCTGTTTGCTCTGAGTGTTGTTTCTAGGATTACATGAATAGGCTCGACATTTTGGTTCCACATGTCGCAAGGGAGAACAGAAACGCGTGTCAAAGTTAAACAGAATCAATTGATCGGTAAGCAAAAAACGTGTTCTCGGAACTAGTTCAGCACGTGGAGTTGTTTGCCGCCTGAGCAAATATTCTATTCACTTTTGACATCTCTAAAGCTTTTGTTTTTAGATAGTACTGCATAATCGGGTGTTGACGTTCCAACTTTAGTCTCTATAATCTCCTTCATTTTTGTTTCAAACTTAAATCATCTTCAAGTGGCAATTAGATAAGAAGAAAAAGCGAATAAAACATCAGTAAAGAAAGTCTGTGGAAGACTCCTTTGTTTCGGCGTGGGACGAGCTAGTCCACCCCATCCCATTGTTCCGGAAAAACCTCCCACGTCACATTTAATTTGTTTGGCGATGACACATAAAAATTATACGTTGTTTAATTCTGTGTTATCGGCTCCGCCTCGTGCAGTATAATGAAATTTCTCGTTCATTGTACAGTCAGCTCGTGGGTGTACTTGTAAACAAAAAAGTCACATCAGTCTCAATCCCCTAAACAGTGGATTCCATAGATGACACCCGCATAACCCTCGAAGGACACTAGGAGAAACCCGACAAGCAACTTTACTCACATACGACACCGAGCACGGCGAGACTCGAACCCGGGTCGCATCGGTGAGAGGCGATCGCTCTCATTGCTATGCCATCCTTGCTTCCCAAATCAAAAGGAATTTGAGACGAAATTGTGAAAACAGGCAAAAAATAGCACGAGCTGACTCTTCTTCCCTCTTGTGTTTTAACGCGTTTTTTCTTGATTTTTTTTTTCTTTGTTTGGTTGGTGATCAGATTTTTCTTCCAGAATTGAATGAAAGAACGTTAGCAAATAAGACCAAAAAGGGCAAGAAAAAAGAAAAACAAATCCATTCGAATTTTCCGTAAATAATAACAGACCATGAAAGGGAATCAAACCGCCCTTTAGCGAACTCATGGATACTAGTTGCACTTTTCAGAAATTGGGCTCCGTGTGCCTTTCTTATGCTTGTTGACATTCGAAGGATTGATTTGGAGGTGAATTGAGGTTAAGAGGGTTGATGTTAAGTCAATGTGGGTTTATGTGGGATCGATGTGGGGTTGATGTGGGCCGGGGTCGATGTGGTTTGATGTGAACTCAATGTGAGGTCGATGTGAGGTCAATATGAGATCGAAGATATCAGTGTCAATTTGGGGTCGATTTGATGTCGATTTGGGTTGCTGTGGGGTCGATTAGCGGTCGATATGGGTTGATGCGATGTGTGGTCGATGTGCCTCCGGGGTGAGGTCAGTGTGAGGTCAATTTTAGATGGATGTGGGTTGCTGTGGGGTCGATTAGCCGTCGATATGGGTAGATGCGATGTGAGGTCGATGTGCAGGTGAGGTCAATGTGAGGTCAATCTTAGATCGATATGAGTTGCTGTGGGGTCGTTTAGCGGTCGATATGGGCTGATGCGATGTGAGGTCAATCCTAGGTCGATGTGGGTTGATGTGGGGTTGATGAGAGGTCAGCTTGTAGATTTCAAACACATAAGGCTCCCCAAAAATATTCCAAAAAGTATTCTTTTTTATTACAGATACTAATTTCGATGAAACGAAATGAATGTATTTCTAAAAGAGCCAAATAAACATGGTGATAAAAAAGCACCAAACGTAAAAGTTGATCTGTACCGACGAGCGCTGAAAGACAAAAGCACTAGTTAATTAGCATATTTACTTTAGATAAATAGAGATTACTTCATGGTTAGTGAGCGCGTACGGTTTTTATTCACGAGTTGTGAAGAATCAAACGAACGAGCGAGTCTTCGAGCGAATGAGTTTGATTCTTCACAACTCGTGAATAAAAACCGTACGCGCTCACTAACCATGATGTAATTTATTTATTTTAGAAGTACTGAGATATTACAAATAAAGATTTTTTGAACTTGGAGTTCAGAAAAAAATTTATTGAACCTCGAACAATTGGTTCGAACTGAAATAGAAATGTCTCTTTCTAATAGTGTGATAAACTTGTAAATATAAGTATACTTAGATTAGAATTGTGTACTTGTTCGATATTAAAGTGAAAACCAATCAAAAAATAACCTAATGATTAATACACGAAAAATATAATACTTCCTTTTCCTTTCTGTTTGAGTTCTCGTTGCTTTGATTGCAAAGCTGTTCGTGTCTGTTCAAAGTCAGCGTCTTTGATAATGTTCACCCAATAATTTTTCTTCTTTAGATATCGCTCAAAACTAGCTATAAAAGCCCGTAGAAAAGCTTGGTTCGAAGTTTTCGTTGGCTGGTTCTTTCTTACGGACATCGAGGACGAATTCGCTGAGGTATTCGTTGAGTTCTTTCGCAGGAATCTGTTCTATAGCCCTCGTCTCTCCTTTCGTTTGTAAAAATTCCCTTAGGAGTGCCACATCGTTCTGTGTCTTTTTTCTAGTGTTTTCGTTTTCCTGGCTCTCGATAAACTCAGTGATTGAGTCGATTTGAGCAAATCTTGAGCAACAACCTTCCATGTTTAAGAACTTTTGACAACGAGCACTCAAACGCAAGCTGACACTTTCTGCAAAAAACGCGGGAAAACTCCCTTAGGAGTGCCACATCGTTCTGTGTCTTTTTTCTAGTGTTTTCGTTTGCCTGGCTCTCGATAAAATCAGTGATTGAGTCGATTTGAGCAAATCTTGAGCAACAACCTTCCATGTTTAAGAACTTTTGACAACGAGCACTCAAACGCAAGCTGACACTTTCTGCAAAAAACGCGGGAAAACTCGATACGAGTTTTTTCACTAGTGAAAAATATCGTATAGCCAATCACAGTGCTGATACGATGTTCTTCACTAGTGAAGAAAAACGTATAGCCAAAGGCATCGCTTCCCGTTTTTGTCATATGATTTTTATCAAATAGCTTGCGAACATGTAAATCTCAGTACTTATATAATAAATGATATTAGTATTTTGTTATTGCGTAAAAAATTTGGTTAAGCTGCTTTATTCCTCCATTCAAATTCTTGATAGGGAAGTTGTGGAGGATTTTTATTATTATCATTCCGTCCGCAAATTTGAACATTCATTGTCGGTAACAGAGCGTAACGGTTAATTTAGAGATTGGCATACGCGACGGAGTCGCGTAATATCGTGAAAAAATATCGAAAGCTTGTTTGAGAAACACTTTTTAAGTGAGATTTTTAATGCATTTAATTCAAGTCAACTTTTTAAGGCCTTTTTTATGTGGAGGAAAAAATAAAACTAAATGAGGTAAGAGTAATTGGCTGAACGAGTCTACAAAAAAACCTCTTTTACTCAAGTTTGGCAATATCGTTCGGCAACGCATTAAAACTTACCCAGTTTTTTATTTCAGAAATGAAATAAGCTATAATCGAACTATGTTCAACAGCAACGGCATTTCCCAAATCGACGTACCAGTGGAGATATCGGCTTCTAGATTTACCTAACATTCTAGACCTGTCTACAAAGGCTCATAATACCTATGCATATGGGAGTCGTTTGACAAAACGTTTTAAATAATTTCCAGGTTTTACTAAATATAGCGAAAGAGTATAAATCAGGTTTCATTTTGATACCAAAATGTTTTAGAAATTATAAATATTTTAATTTTTCTAGCGCCACCAAAACAGTGCTTGAACGGTGTCGTAACCAGCCAACCACGGACCCAAAACTGACCCTCTCTTTTATAGCGGAGCCCCCACGCGGAGCACCATACTTTAAACAATTGTTAACCATCAAGTTGAGTTTTCATGGCTTGGCCGACGTCACTTCCGTCCGTCCGTCCGTCCGTGTACACAACACAGGGATCCCGCTTGATGTCTAAGTAAAACTACTCACAAATGCGGCTCTCAAATGCACAGAAAAAAATCGCTTCAGGACAAGTTATAGCCCAAAAACAATTTAAGCTTTTTATATTTATATAGATAAGCTTAATTTATTTAAATGCTGGAGGAAAAATAACACGGAGAGTATGTCACGACAACAAATTTTCGTCCTTTATTTAGCTTTGTAAATCTTTAACAATTCGGTTGTTTTTAACCAACTATCGTATGTTTTTCGTTCAAGAAAAATGCAGCTTTGTTCGGCTCCTATCGCGGGGTCCCATTGGCAAAACAAAGAACACTTTCATTCAATAATTTTATATCTTTCTACAGATAATTTATTAAATTATATAATGAAATATAAATTTACACCAAATATTCAACTGTTTATTAAGCTGTTCGAGCAAGTATGATCATAAAAATGAGTTAAATATGTGTTGTTGAGAGATGTTATCGTATAGGCTTAGACTTTCACTTTAAAAAGCTAAAAAATAATTTTAAAAACATTTACAAACGCCATTTTACTGACAAGAAATTCATCATTTTGTATTTTGCATTGCCTTTTGCATTATTTTTTATTTTGTCTCAGTTGTTCTTGTCAAGTTTAACTGAATATAAACTTCGTCTCGTTCTGTAAAAGACGTAAGCTTATTTTCTGCTCACCTTAACCAGTTTTCAAGTCTGTTTTTTGGTCTTGATTTGCCCTAAATCTCCAGATTTTCGATTTCCATGAAAGACATTCGAGGTAAGTTTCACTAAACGTGATATTGTATTGGATTATCTGTAGTTTTTTGTTTTTCGTTTTTTTTAAGTAAAAGAGATAAAACCTAAAACCTAAAAAAAAAAAAAGCCTAAAACTGTCGGCCTTGGAAAACTTTGTCGAAGAATCTTCCAAGAACAAAACTAGCCCTTGGGGGTGGTGGTGAATTGTGTACAAAATTCCTAAGTGGGAGAGTATGCTCGCGCAAAGAAAACAATGTAGTATATTTCGATTCGATTTCACTGCATTGTTTTTATTATGGGAGAAATTATCTTCATCTCGAATAAAAAATAATTGAAGATTTGTTCCCCAATCTTATTTTTACCTTTCAGTTTCATTCAAATTGTTCTCCCGGTGACTTCCGTATCGGGAGCTCCGCTTTTAGGCAGTGCATAAATATATATATATATTATATTCATAAATTATACCGATCTTTGAAAATCACTCAGCTGTAAGTACATGTCGCCGAGAACAATAGGATTCTGCCCGATGTTATAAGATTTTTTTGCTGAATACTGCCGTAACTTTGACCTTTCTAATCTGACTTTCGCTTTGAATTCTAATGAAAAGTGTTTCTTTCGATGGATCCTGCTCGACCTACGGGTCTTGAAAAAATTGATATATTGAATTGTACATAGCGTTTTTGTTTAATTTAATACATCAGCAAAAAGAGGTTTGACCTTTGGTTTGACTCATTGAAAATATAGTTCAGGCGATAATATTGTATTATTTTACTTCAACTTGCATCTTTTCTTGATATATTTTTAATCCGAAGATAAAAGTATATGCGAGTGTGCGCATGCACAGTGGGTCCACATTGATTCATTTTCTCATATAAATAGTCAATGTGCTCTTTTGGTATAAGAGCACGTAGTTGTTTGTGTTGTGTAACGTTCGTAATCAGATGACATAAGGCGATTGATAAACGCTTAATTATCGATCTGCCAACATCTTATTGAGTGAGCGAGCGAGTGACACATTTGCATATTCAGACCCCTCACAATAACTCATTTCTACGCTTCGCGTATCCATGAGTTAAAAATGACATGATGTTTTATCCAATATCAGTCCCATAACACCAAAATAAAACTGAGAACTGCAATATAAAAGCTTTTAAAATAGCATAACCATCATTCACTAATACTTCTGTCAAGATTCTGGCACGGAGTTCTAATAGATTTTTTTATTCATAGTCCTGACCACTTTAATCAAAATACCCCGAGGTGTATAGTGAAAATGTCAATTTTTCTTGACTTGCCATGATTAAATGTAAAATGAAACGAAAAAAAGGTAAAAAAAATAGCTTACTTTAGACATTATACGTACCTGTTTCCACGGAGAGAAAAACACCGACAATAACGATAAGAAATTTCCAGGTGTCTTTGAAAATCAACTCCATGTCTCCAGTCACTGTAGCTGGGCGAGCAAAACAAAATGTTGATTAAAATTATGATGTCTTCTCTTTTTAAACTTTTTTTTTTACAAATATGATATGGGATGAAATAATAAACCCCTGATTAAAGATGGCTTCCATGTGTGATTAGCTTTAACGTGTTTTTTCTTGTTTTGTGTGTGTGTGTGTGTGGTGTGTGATCAGATTTATCTTTCAGAAGTGAATAAAGGAACGTTTGCAGAATAAGACCAAAAGGGCAAGAAAAAAGTAAAAACAAATTCAATAGGATTTTTCTAAATAATAACGTAGGAAAGAACGGTTAGAGTACGTATTTGCTTCACTAAAATGAGATTGTGATAGTGTCTCCAAACTACAAAGCCTTTAAAATTCTCCCTTGCCCAAGCGGAGTTCCAAAGGGGTCACGACGGTGATCGATAATCCCTTATCGAAGTTACATCAGCTGTCAACATCGTGGCTTAAAAACCCTCATATTGATCAGTATTGGTAATTAGCATGTCATGGTTTGCTCGGATATTAATATGTATAAATTGTACATGGAGGACGTTCTTGTCCCAGCTTGTGTTGACCTTTCGCCTCGTTTCAGCAGGCAGGAAGTAACTTACCAATACATTGAAAACCTACTATGCATATAAAAATTCTTATAAAGCCAATTGCTAAAGTAACAAAAATACGAAGGATATTAAAATGAAATAGCCTAGATATTTTGTTGTCTTAAGGTAACTTTTGTTTTTAACTGGAATTCCTCTGCCATAGCGGCGCGTGACAAAATCAGACTTCGCTGCCATAAATAGACTTGGTGAATTTATCACCAACATAAAGTCCAGCTGATTCCCGCCAGTTCCGGTGGGTACCCATAAATTACTTGTAGCCCCTGTTGCTGCCATACTTTGTCTGTTAACTTCCTTTTTTCCTTGATTTTGCTTCTATCGTAATGTACGTTCAGGCTCAAATTTTGGTTTGGTCCAATTGTTTATGTCCATTTAGTGTAGCAAAATTTGTAGCTTTTCCTTTTCCCAAGTAAAGTACGTAGACTCCAGAAAAAAATCTCTTTCGCTCTTTGGGTTAATGTAATTGAAAAAAAAATGTTTAGATAAAAATAATGATAATAATGAAATTTTAAAAAATCATTGAACATTTAAATATCATTTACTGCGGTGCTATACTACATGAGTTATCATATATACCATATTGATAAGTTGATCTTGCATTTGTCAGAAGTAATATATAGCATGTTGTGTTTCGTTTGTCTATGCTAATAGATGTAGACTAGTCAATTGCCCCTGAATAAATTCACTTTTTTAAATTCTGAGAAATACGCTAACAGTTGACAGAAAAAAAGTAAGTAATTTTCATTACAATCGGCGTGCGTGTGAACTTTGAACTTTGAACTTTTGTTGTGTGCACTCTGTCATGAATTCAAGGTGAAGCGTAAAATTATCGTGATTTATGTGCAGACAATTGCCAATCTGGCTGAAAGCTTAAGAAATACTTGTATGAGGAAACTTATACAAAATGTTTTAAGTTTTTCATTTCGGTATGTTTGGATTTTTCAAGTTAGGGTAGATAAATGTCAAATTTGTTAAGAAACGCACTCATTGGCTAGAATTTGACAGAAAGTGACAGAAGTTGACAGTCATTTCAAGTCGCTCGGTAGTCTGACGTTTGCCGCCGGTGTGTTTTCTTGTTCAAACTTCAGCATTTAATTGCATAAATAATAACTTTTTTGACAAAGCCAAGATCCATCTTTATTGGTGTCAATTGCATCGGAGGAACTCCAGATAATCGAATGGAGAGGTTGTTATCAAAACAGTCAGTTTCCCTTTGGCCATGCATGCTTTGATGAACAGGTTTGTTTATTAAAAAGATTTCAGATTTTATCGATATCAAAAAGTGACGATTTTTAGGCATGTTTTGGCCCTCTTTAAAATGAAATGAGCAATGTAATTAAATTAGTGTTATACCACGCAAACGTACGTTTGTTGCTTGTGTTTTTAAACCTTTTATTCCTTACTTGTTCATCCTGACTTTTTACAATGTAATGTCCCAATCTTAAGGTGGCTGCCTACTTTTGAACGTTCGATTTGAGCCCACGATGTGCGCGCGCTCAAAAACCGCTGAAAAATCTACAAGATTTTATTGAAGAACCATACGCGTTTTGAGCTTCAACAGGGCAAAACTCTCACATTTTGCACGGGACTCTATATTTTTTGATAGCTCATTCGAAAAAAACTCCTAAAAATCTAGGTTATATCAATATTTTAGAAAAAGTTTAAATCAGGAACACGTGAAAAAATAGATTTTTGTAGGGATTTTTGTTCGACTTTATGAGATTTTTTAAGAGCACCGAAACTACAAAATATGACAAATCAATGTATCTCTCTGTCTTTTTGTCGAAAATATCCATGTATTATTGTAAAAGGATTGACTAGCCTTCGTTCGTGCAATCATATAGTCTGCAAATAACTATTATCTTATTAATCTTAATTTTTTTCTAATCCCTTCCGGTGGCGCAATTTTTACTCCAAAAGCTCGTGCGTAAGATTCCATTAAATGCTGATTATCTCGAAAACGAGCTCGGGACACCCTATTTTTCTTTCCAGATTTGGAATCAGTATTAAATTTCAATTCGGAAAATCGAAGTTTTAAAAAAAGCTTAAATCAATTTCCAAAAGTAGGCAGTCACCTTATAAATCCAAAAGTCCCATGACCTCTGTTTACCGCCTGTTTATTGCTCGTTTCCTGTGTCAACAGGGTGTCCTGTTAAACTGTATCACATTAGCAATTCAAATTTAGTTAATTTTGAATCATAGTTTTTTTCTAAGTTGTGTAATTGGATGAATCAAACTGGAAATAAAACTATTTCGAGTCACTTCTTTGTGTCGTGTGTCCGTATTTAATGGAGAGTTGTCGAAGTGATACTTTTCTCAAATTCTGTCAAGAAATGGGGTACTGAATTAAGCATTTCTTTCCGTATAAAAGCATAGGAATGGCATGGCTTTTGAATGTTTTACTCCAGCAGGTTTTTAGTTCTTAATATCACCGTACTTGACTCTGTTTGTACTATACCAACAACAACGCGACCGCGCGATGCTCCTTACGTCAGTAATATTCAACCGTCAGAGTCAAGTACGGAATAGCCGTTAAAGAAGTAACGCTCGTAGGCTATTCAAACCGTTTGACCTTTGGAATGAAAACGTCTGCACTACAACAGCGAACGAAGACAACGAAGGAACACGGACACAAGATAAGTAAACAAGTATATAACGTTAATTTAATTCAAATAATCGAAAGGGGAAAAAACCTATAGAAATCCAACCATATTCGGTGTCCTAGTGCCCTTGGGCCAATCAGCACCTATAGACATGCTGACTGACCAAAAGGTGTTCCAAGGATCTACTGTCATCTTGCCATGTGAAGCTGCGGGTTTTCCTGCGCCAAATATCACGTGATTATTCAATAATGATCCAATCCCATGGGAGCATTCAAAAGAAAACGATTCTTTGGTCCTTAACAATGTTAGAATGGAAGACATGATGGTCGATATACTTGTGTAGCTACCAGCAAGGCCGGTACAGTCTCTACTTCTGCATCACTTCTGGTTTATGGTAAGGTATTGTTGCATTTAATCGCTTGTCGCTGGTGCCTTGCCTTCGTGCAGACCGAATTCAACTCTCTATCACAGAATAATGTGAAAGGTGTTTGTTTTACTATTTTTAGAATGACATCCTTCAATCTTATTGTTTCTCAGCAGTACGATTTAAGAGGCAGTCTCTGTAAAACCAGCCCACTGCATTTCGRGTCAGAAAATAGTTTTCCCTCAAACTTTTACCATAGAAAGGTAATTACTAGTTAGTAATGAAAATGACTTTATTTTCTCGAAATTCATCAAAATGATTTGTTTACAGCGCATAAATCCTGAACCACCATTATCGCTAAATTTGCATTTATTATCAATTGAAAATTGCCCATATTTAAGTCGTCACTACTCGCAAAATATAAAACGCTGGAACAAACTATTATTTTTCCTGACTTTTACATTCATTCGAGTGTCAAAAATAAGCAAAATTTTGAATGTTAACCAAAAGGGGAAAAATAAGTATTCGTACCCATTTGACAGCTTTTTGAAATCAAGACAAACCACCCCTCACTAAAAAGCTTTTTTCTTCCAAGTCCAGAACGGGTTACTTTTTTAGWTTTTTACTTCAATCTATTGATCGATGGTTGATAAAAGTGGATCCATAAAAACATTTTGCGCTTTTTATGTATCTTCTTCACAGCAACCTCGGGCTTTTTCGTGTTTTTACCAAAATGTCTCATGTGAAATATGCAAATTAAGTACCGAAATAAACCGCGAAAACTAACCATTATTACTTGCTTGAATTTTACTATATCCGGTGTTAACACACTAAATATGTTCTTATTTTCCATTTTTAACTACTTTGAAGTAAAATCGTCTCCAAAAAATACGCTATGATGCATTTGACGCGGTATATGAACTGTTTTGAGGTTTATGCAAATTACTTATTGATAATGTAAACTAATTTTTCTAAATTATAGTTTCCAAAAACTGTATTTATTTTCTTTTTCTTTTTTTGAAATAACCTAAAAACTTGTCAAAAAGCACCTATTTTAATATATCTGACCTTCTTAATCTGCCCAAACTAAGGAAAATAGTCAAAAACAATTTATCTACCACGACGGAATGAACAACTTAGTTCAAAACAAGTGATTAAATACGAATTAAATCTAAGATTTTAGGTTAATTTGGTAAAAATGTCGGTATTCAATTAATTTAGATATGTCCAAGCGAAAACGTCCCCATAAAATACAATGTTATGATGCATTTGGCGAGGTATATGAACTGTTTTGAAGTGGCTTACCATAAACCACGAAACGAAACGAAACGAAACGAAACGACACAATAAAATGCGAAACGAGGATTTCGCATTTTACAGATCTGTAAAATGCGAAACGACAGACTGTAAAATGCGAAATGTATAT